ACATGTTAAGATTTGTGTCTGTGTGTGTGTGGGTGCGCGCGCGCGCGTGTGTGTGTGTGTGTGTGTGTGTGTGTGTGTGTGTGCGCGTGTGTGTGTGTAAGTGTGTTTTTATTTTTTTGAGTAAAATTCGGAAACAGGGATAATTCTTCAGAAAAGTTTTGCGTTTTATTTTTCCACTAAATACTCCCCTCTCCTAATCCCACAAAACTGTACGGAAATACAAGGCAGGAGGCCTTTTCTAGCCTTGCTTAGCCCGGAGGCAAAGGTTCGGAGCAGCGCTTATCCAAGTGTGCCTCTACTGCAATTCATTTGTTTTGATTGTAAAGGGAACTTTAATTGCTTAACTTGGTAAAAGTTTATAGGTAGTTAGTGGTGATATTTGAGCGGTTCCACTTCACGTGACCGTTCAATACACGTGGAGAACAATATAGACAGACCGTTGGGAATCAGTAAAGAGTAACCACGGCCGCTTAATAGAGTGGACCACTTTATAGAGGTTAGAATTCCAGTAACTAAGGGGAAAATTTCAAGACGGAATACCGACCGCCTAATACGGTGCCACTTAATATAAGTTGACTGTACGCGGGTCCAGGACCTCCCCGAAGTTTCTTATCGTGTTAACATTCGTAAATGAGACAATCCACTCTCGCCCGGTACCGTTCTGCACCAAGCAGGGTGATTGGGACACACTCACAACCGTTTGCTTAACTTGACCAACTTGTAGGGAAAGGCAGGGAGCGGTAGAAAAGAGGAGGAGAAGGGGGGTGGGGTGAGTTCAATGGGGATGGACAGACTCACATCTTATTTGTTGACGTCATCCCTCGGCGATCATAATTGAACGGAAAGCCAGCAAGATTGAATTGCCGTTAACTGTTGTACTTCAGAATTTTTGTTGACCCATTTGGCGAATCTTTCATATTGTCCAAAATTAAAGGATTTTAGCTTTTTCATTTCATAATAATTAAAATTATCTTACGTCACATTGGTTTTCGGAAATTATTTTCAACTTTTAGGAATTTTTTGGTTTTTTAACTTCACATTGTGTGTTTGTCAGTGTTGTTACACAAAGGTTGTTCCCTGATGAAAATGCCAATTTGGCAAAAATATCGGAAAGTGTATTCGCATCAGCTTTAAAAAGGCCTTTCTTTCCTTGTGCAAAATTGTCCAAAATTGAGTTTAAATCGAAAAACGGCTAGCCCCCTTATTCGCTTTTTGTTTGTTTGGTCTTTTATCTATTCAAAGGCCGCAGTTTCTTCAAGGAGCACTGAGTAGATGGGATGACAGTTTTCAATGTTGACACGGAGGCTGCCAGCAGCATTTTTAATCTTCATCACTCCTTTTTGTAACTTTTATTTCTTCTTGCGGATTGGTTTCCTTCCTTAGACATAGCAATATAAATTGAATACAAGAAAACGCAACGCCCAAGGAGCTAGCAATGTAGAATGCCAACACATAAGAACCCGCTTGATCTGCGATGAAGCCTGCCAATAAAATGGAAAGCCACTATCAGTCAAAAACAACAGTTTGAGTCATCTAGAAAATGCCCATTCTTACTAGAATCGCATCATTGAATACAATCTTGCATTCTGATTGGTTAGGAGGCGAGGTATTTAGCGTGGAATCGCGAGTCAGTGAAAACGAGGCTAAATGATAATGGAATTCCCTCGTCAGGTCATGAATTTTCCTACAGAATTCTCGTTAAAAGGA